CAATAATTCATAATTAAAATTATCTTCAATGTGATTTAATGTAAATGTAGATTATCATAATTCTAAATATGGCCAAATGATACAATTCTGTTTCAAAAGTAATGCATCCCATCATTTCCCATAAACAATAAACAAACCAAGTACTAACGATTCGAATCGCAAAACGAAACCCGAGATACAAAATAACATTTTTGCGAAACATCAGTAGCAGCTTATGAACTTTTCACAAGAAGAAGTGATATCAATCATAAGTGAGTAAGTATTTCATAATGAGAAGAGTACACATACCCTGCCTGGCGCCACATCCATCATAGCTGCTTAACAAACATGACAAATAAGAAACGTACAAAAAAGAAAACAGTTACTTGACTCATGAACGACTGTGAACAAAGATATATATATATATATATTTGTTTTGAGATAATGAAACTTTGTCAAAGGAAAAGGGTTCAATGTTCAATTTTTGTTTAAGTAGAACATCCATATACAACATCTGCAAGAAAAATTTGATATACAATACGTCTGGCACAGAATAGAATGCGTTCACTTACCGTAATTTATTCATATGGCTACCATTTTATTTTGAATTGACGGTTGACTAAGCTTTTGTTGTCACATGGTGTTGTTATCGCCTTCTTATTATTACCATATTGTTTATCAATAAATTTCAATACTTATATCTTATTGTCCTAATTTTTTATTAAATCGATTATTATATATGCAATAAAAATGTTCAATTCATGTTTTTGGTGGCCTATTTATAAATATATTGACCAAAAGTGATGTTTTTATCGGGGAAATTAGAGAGTTGTTCTGTATATTGCCGTTCGCCCACAATTGGATTGTGAACACGATGGAGGCCACAAATTATATAACATTTTGTAAGCAGGATTATATCCACAATAACTTGGGACTTATATTTCCCCTAACATATAGTAAAAGTGGCTTGTGAACGCGATAAAAGTCACAATATTGTCCGAATTTTATAAAATCTTGTGTTACAGCCCTTTATATACTGAAAATGCGCTATTGGATGCTTGCTTGTGAACGCGAAAGAGGCTGAAGTTGGTGCCAGATTTACATTATATTTAATGTATATCTCAATATCCACAAGTTAGTGGAAGATTTTGAATTCAAGCGCTTTTCCACAAATACTTGAGTTTTAGCCCTAAAAATTACTGACCAGTCGTTGCAAGTGCTGGCCTATGGAAGCAATAAAGGCAACTTTAAAATTTTATAAAAGTTATTTCTTATCCACAATATCACGGACTAATTTTGTACAAATTCGAATTTAGGTATAATTCAGAAAATATTTCCCGAGTTACAGCCCTTGATATACCGAAAATACGTTGAAGTGGCAAGTGAATTCGATAACAGTTACAGTTTCGTCAGATTGCAACTAATTAGCGAGAAAGTCTATTTATATCCACAAGATAACGACCAAGTTACAATTTCGATACGTTTCGGCAAATATTTTTCTACTTACAGCCCTTGATATACCGAAATACGTGGAAGTAGCTTGTGAACTAAATAGAGTCGCAGTTTCATCATTTTTTTTTAAATTTGCTGAGTAGGTTTATATTCACAAGCACACGGCCAAGCTACAATATGGGTACGATTGGGTTCGACCAATAAATCCTGGAAGTTCCTATAATTTTACATATCACTAGGGTTTTTCTCATTTTTGTCTCCCTATATATTAGTAGTATTGTGTGGTAATGACAGGTGTGGTTCAATGCAGGGTATTCTTATCCCTGATCATTTTGGTGAAAATTTTCATTACCAAATGCTTCCTCATTGATGTTTGTAAGATTTTTTCTAATCCTATTAAAAAATTACTGTGATCAGTTCTCTCCCTTGAACTGTTAAAATTTTATTGAAATATTTGTATGAGTTCCCTCCCCTGAACTGTTAAAATTATGGTCTAATATCTAAGATAATTCATTTGCCGCCTGTTTACACGTTAATTCACGAAATTCAACCTTCTATAACTTTTCAAGAAATCTATCCAATATGTCACATGATAGCCTGGCCAATACGTAGTTTCTGGACAAAATTAAATATATCATGACCATGAAAACCTTGAGCAAGCCAAACTGAAAGTAGACCACTATATTTTATCGACACCAGCTTGACATTCTTTAAGAATGTTGGGAATCAGGAGTTTGCTCCTAAGAGAAACATGCTCATATGAAAAACATGCTGGTGCATAACATTCAATTGAACCATTATTATACCAAAAAATTAAATAATAAAAGAATAATTAACAGTAAAGAAATTGAATTCATCTTATTTATAATTTGACAGATAACTAATCAGGATATTATGATATCTCGAGTTTAGAGTCGAGACAGTTTCAATATTCAAGAACAAAACATTGTCAACTTATATGAATAATTTAAACATACGGGGCCGACTGTTTTAAGAAGGCTTCGAATGACATCAAATGATCCAGAATTGCATCAATATCGATATAGTTTGTACTTTATTCCATTTTTATTGTATTCAATTCCTATTCCTGTGTATGTATCGTACTCTTCAAATCTATATATTGTCCCTTCACTGGATTACTGTACCAGTTTTCCTTTCAATTGGCAGTTGATGTGGTGGCTTAATTCGTAGTTCAATCAAGCGCTTATCTAGGCTATTCTGGAATGGATAGGATATGGTGTCACAAGACCTAGATAAGAAATATAAACTTTTCATGCTAATTTATTAACAGATATTAAACGTGATAGAAAATTATCACAATAAAATGTAAAATTTATTTCCCTATATTTTAATTATTTGATTTAAACGTGTTTTAAGGTTTGTTTCCTCTTATCAATTCACCCAGCCTAATAATTATCAGCTTGTGTTTTTAAACGGAAATGATATCTCTGTGAGAATAAGGGTTATCATTATGCAATTATGGGATTACAGACGTGTAAAATGTTGCAGAGTGGACAAACTATTAGTTCATGCTTTCGTAGATTTTTATCTTTCCGAAAGAATAATTGCGATCTCCTGTTTTTGAAATTCAATTAATTTTACTATCCAATATCCACAATAAAAGGAATACTACCTCTTAGAATGGAAATACGAATTTAAAGTCTCAAATTTGGTCAATAAGACTGTGTATTCATCAATTAGACTTGCAAGGTGCAATGACTAAAGAATAAAAGCTTTATACAAAACGATATATCCATTGTATTAAATAATCATTGAAACATGCTTCAAAATTACTTAGTTTAATGAATAATTGGATGAACTATAAGGTCATAAGTCCTAGTTATGTCTAAAAACCGTTTTTTCAATATAGAGTTAGCTATTGTGTGCATGTGTACAGTCAATTTGAACTCTGTACCTTTAATACATTTATAAATATAACAAATATAAAATGTTATATGTTCATCTATTCATTGACAACAGAGGGCCTATATTGTAGATAAGACTTTTCTAGTGTGAGATTTTGCCTTTTTCTTGTAAAGTAAATTTCGAAAAAATTCATAAATCTAAATAAATTTTATTTAGTTTTATGAATTTTTTCCATTACAGAGTTATTGTGTCATATACATTGTCACCAGATAGGTTCACCGATGAACAAAGATTATGGACATTAAATAATGTAGTTATCTTAATGTGTAGAATACCTTTAAATTGCTATTATTTTGTGAAACATATTATTATACAACCATAATATGTGCGGTTTAGTTAATCAATGGTTTTTTTTACATCCAAATGAAAATAATAATTAGACTTGTATATGATAACACTTCTTCAATCAAAGTGGAAGATCTTGAGCTCATTAATTACCACACTTGCAATGATAATAACTGCATTGCTATGCAATAAGCGATTTGAAACAATTCCTAATGTTAGTGGCGCAGTCTTTTTGTTACATAAATTTGATGGAAATCTATTCTCTAAGGCCTATACCGTAGCCGAGTTAAGTGAAGAGAAAAACCGGTTTGAATACACTAGAGTAAAGAGTATTACACAGCATAAATTTAAAAAAAGAAAAACTTTTTATAGTGTGGAGGTAGATTAAGGTATTTGAAACGACTCGGTTAAGAATTATCCGATGTATATATGAAATAAATATCGGCTAAGAGGAAAACCCTTAATCTTCTTTAACTCCATTTAACTCCGGAATAGGTTTAAAAAGCGACTGACTTTTAATCAAACCTTTTGGCAACTTTTAGGGGTCGACCACGGATGGTAATTATCGTCTGTTATTCCTACTATTATTTGTTGATAAATTCAACATTCCATTTCTATTTTTCTTACAATTAATGTTTAAATTATTCATTTTCCCATTTATTCATTCATTCAGTCATTCCTTTTATCTCTTCAGCGAGGGGATTTGTAATTCTCTAAAAATACCAAAAGCCGTAATCATTTATGCATTTATTTTATCTTATCATTTAGATTCAGGTTTTTGTTTTTTGAATCATATTTTGGCTCATAGCTTGTGAAAACTACAGCTGTCGATATGAATAAGGAGTTGAATAACAAAAATATGTACTAGCTATTATAATGCAAAATTGCAAACTAACGAAATTTTGAATGCAACAACGTCCTATATTATGCCACTAAATATCTAATGAAAATATAACATCTGTTTTTTACTCATACCCATTGGTTGTTACTTCGTACCAAATGATTTCTCCCTTGCAGTACGTGACTGAACGTCGGTGCGAAAGAATTGGCTACATTAAGAGCAAGGTCGTTGAATGGCATGGCATCATTGAGCCGGGGGTAATTGGAATTTTCGAAGATATGCTGAGAAATTAAGCAGATATCTAACTTTTTTCACATTATTTTGTAGCAGACGACATCTAAAAACCGCGAAAATAGATGTCGTCTGTAACAAAGTAAAATACACACGTGTTTGTATGTTTTAAGTGGATTATCAACGAAATGAAAGGAAGTCGGTCTGTAAATCACGAATTGTGGTGGTTATGAACTGTATTTTCTAACTTTGACAATGTTATTTGTGATATCAACGTGGTATAATCATGATTGGAGGTATCAACAGACGATGTTTAATGTTAATTCTCTTAATGTTTATAGCCGGTCTATTCTGTAAGTATATATTATATACACTATAACTAATAGAACACTGTATAGAAAGGGAGCAGTCATTGTACTGTGCTATATCGTTATATTATTGTATTTTAGGTACAATTTACAATTTTCATAAGTTGCTGAAATATCTGTATTTATTGATAAATTAGATTGATAATGGAATTGTATTCTTTTTAAACTTATTCTGGTTTCCGATTGGTTTAATTCTGCCGATCCTTTTTGCGCACTATAATCATGTAGAAAGGGTCTACTTTAACTCGTAGCAAGTTCATTTAAAATCTACTAATAGATATCATGGAAATTAATTGAAATTAACGATGCTCGAAATATAATAATATAATAATACGAATATTAGTAAGGAAGGTGCGAATTGTTCTTTACTATTGAATTTTGATTCGCATTTCATAGAAATTCACTAGATTGTGATATTCATCTCTGAACCTGTACCTTTGATTGATTGGAGCCACCAAACGAAAACGCTTCCTATTCATTTAGATTATTTAGTATTATTCATAGTGGTGGGGGGGGGGGGGGGGGGGGGGGGGGGGGGT